AGATATCAGGGGGCTGGTGTTGTGGCATAGCAGGTTAAGCCGCCGCCGGCAGCACTACCATCCCAAACAGGCAGTGGTTTGAGTTTTGGCTGCTCCATTTCCGATCTAGTTCCCTGCTGATGCACCTGGGAAAGCAGCAGAAGATGGCCCAAGTGCTTAGGCCCCCGCCCCCACACGTGAGACCCAGAAGACGCTCCTGGCTTCAGATCAGCCCATCCCCAGTCATTGTGGCCATTCGGGGAGTGAACCAGCAGATGGAAGATCTCTGTCTCTCCCTCTTGCTCTCTAACTCTGCCTTTCAAAGTTATCACCGCAGTCTACTTCATTGAGACGTGTTTAGTACAGATGCTCCTTGACTTACTCTACTGTGACTTGAAAATATCGCAAACTCGAAGTGCACTTATACACCCAACACGGAACATCCTGGCTTGGCCACACGGCACACGCTCAGCTGTCCACCCTCCTGTGAGTGCAGTGCTGACTGGAGGGGCAGGGAGCTGCAGACGCTGCCACTGGCCGGCACCACAAAACTGCATCCTAGCCACCAGGCTGGGGAAAGACCAACACTCAAATTTCAAAGTATGGTTTCTGCCACATGTGTTTTGCTTCCACACCATGGTGCAGTCAGGCCGTTGCCACCTGAACCATCCCAAGTAAGGCACTGCATGCGTTAAGTGCATTCTTCCAGATGGAAATAATCTCCCTTGCCAATTCAAAGTCATAGACCGAAATATTCTTTTTTTTCTTTAAATGTTATTTCAAGCAATCTTTTATCTGCTGGTTCATTCCCCCAAATGGCCATAACAGTCAGGGCTGGGCCAGACTGAAGTTAGGAGCCAGGAATTCCATCTGTGTCTCCCACATGGGTGACAGGGGCCCTCATCTGCTGTCTTCCCAGGCTCATTAACAAGAAGCTGGACCGGAAGTGGAGCAGCAGAGAATCAAACTCGTGCCCTGATGTGGGATGCTGGTGTTGTAATCGGCACCACAATGCTGGCTCCCGAAATATTCTGCTTTGAGACAGTTACTACCCATATGCTCCACTCCATTCTGAAATCCGATTCTTGAATAAATCGCAGCTGTGGGGCCAGCACAGTAGGTTAAGCCTTCGCCTATGGCACTGGCATCCCACATGGGCACCAGTTCATGTTATGGCCACTCCTCTTCCAATTTAGCTCTCTGCTAATGGCCTGGGAAAGCAGTAGAGATGACTCAAGTGCTTGGGTCCCTGAACCCATATGGGAGACCTGGAAGAGGCTCCTGGCTCTGGATTGACCTAGCTCCAGCTGTTGCAGCCATTTAGGGAGTGAACCAGCAGATAGAAGGTCTCTCCCTCTGTCTGTAACTCTGCATCTTAAATAAATAAGTCTTTGAAAAAAAAAGTCACAGCTGCCAAGCAGCAATTACCAAAAGAGTAGTTACTACAGAAAAAGATTTTCTTGGACATTCCTAGAAACAAAAAGGTACACTGAGAAATTTGATTTATGACCTTTGGTTAGGATCTTTCAATTACCCTGGGCAGTCATTTAAGAATGTGGCCATTCGGTGCTGTGGCACAGTGGGCTAAGGCCCTGGCCTGAAGCACCGGCATCCCATATGGGCGCCGGTTCAAGACCCGGCTGCTCCACTTCCAATCCCGCTCTCTGCTATGGCCTGGGAAAACAGTAGAAGATGGCCCAAGTCCTTGGGCCCCTGCACCCATGTGGGAGACCCGGAAGAAGCTCCTGGCTCCCAGATTTGGATCGGTGTAGCTCCGGCCGTTGAGGCCAATTGGGGAGGGAACCAGCAGATGGAAGACCTCTCTTTTTCTGTGTGACTCTTTCAAATAAATAAATAAATCTTAAAAAAAGAAAAAAAGAAAAAAGGAAGAAGAACGTGGCCATGACACACAGATATTGTCAGGGTACTCCTAGGTGCGATTCTTAACATCTCTGGGTTAGTTCCAAGCATTACATGCAGCGAGCTAAAGAAACAACTGCTGTACAACTTGAGATTTATAAACAAGCCCGAGAAGGAAAGAAAAGTGTTTAAATATGAAATCAAGTTACAGTCTCTGGTCTCTAGCGCTTACTGAGTATAATGAGATTTTTAGGGGGAGGGAGAGCTCTCTGTGCTGAGAAGCCCCACGAGCCCGTGTTAAGTGAAGAATGTCAGGAGTGGGCACACAATCAGTGCGCAGAACAAGGACGGTGAGCCAGACGCGGGGCTAGGGGCTGGGTGTGAGGTACTCTCTCATACCAACCTCACCCTCCCCTGTACGCGTGTGGGTCAGGCCTTCGAGCACGGTAGCTTTTAATGTATTCTCCATCACGAAGCTATTCGGAATTATCCTTCTCCCGTAAGCCATCCAATTTTCCTTCCTTTCCCACCAGGAAAATTCAAACCAAACCAAAGGAAACACTTCCGCGGTAACAGGCGGAGGATTAGGACTTAAGTCCCTCCCCACCCCCCCCTTTTTTTTTTGAACTGGAGAAATGTCAGGCTTGTTATGTGCAGAGTGATTTAAAGAGCTCTGGTGTTATAACTAAACAAGAAAGAACAAAGATGCTAAAATATGAGTCATCCTGCCCAGCTGCCCGCTGGGAGTAGCTGAAAATGGCAACACACTGCTGTCTTCTGGCTTCGCGTCTGCCCTACCGCCTGTGTGGCTCGAAAACACTCCCTTTCCTGCACATATGGAGCAATCTCGGGGAAGAATGTGCCTCGGTGAACCCTGACCAGCCAATCAAAACCAGAAGGCTCCGGCTTCGCTGCATCGTGCGTGGTGAAAAGCGAAGTTTGTGAGCTGGGGAAATTTATACCCTGAGAGCAGTCGTATCACAGGTGTGCAGGGTCACCTGGAGAGACTGAACTTTCAGAGAGGCAAGTTCAAACGTTTCTCTGGGCAGCCCACCTGTCATCGTGGAGTATGAGAAAGCGAGCTGCCCGGCGTGGTATCTGATTGCGGTGACAACAACAATAGCTGCCATTTAGGGGGGACTTTCCAGGGCGGGGCTCGGCACCCACACCATCCTATTTGCTCTAATCCTCACGACCCATACGCTAAGGTGTTATCATCCCTGCTTGACAGATGAGGGACGGGGCATGCACGGCTAGAAAATGCGAGGGCAGTGCGCTCTGATTCCTAAAGCCTTGCTCTTCCCCAGCGCCCTCTTTGGTGTTCTTGTCTTCCCCTGACGTTCACAGAGAAGGCCAAGAACCGGAAGAATTAGCTGGAAGAAAGCAGTAAAACACGAACAGGTCCTGGCTGTGCGGGATGGCCTTGGGAAACACTGGGTACCTGTTTCCCAAGAGTGGACTGAATCCATCGCCTTGGGACACAGGTGCTACAGGCTGAGCATCTTTAATCCAATAATTCAAACTGTGAAGGGCTCCAGAATCCACAACGTCATAAGCACTCACAAGACCCAAGTGGAAAATTTCACACTGGAGCTTGTGTGATTGGTCGCAGTCAAAATAACAGGTTAGTCAGTGTTAAACCTACTGTGGGGCCCGTGCTGTGGCGTACCAGGTAAAGCCACCGCCTACAGTGCCAGCATCCCATATGAGCACCGGTTCGAGACCCAGCTGCTCCACTTCCCATCCAGCTCTCTGCTGTGGCCTGGGAAAGCAGTGGAAGATGACCCAAGTCCTTGGGCCCCTGCCCCCATGTGGGAGACCCAGAAGCAGCTCCGGGCTTTGGATTGACCCAGCTCCAGCTTTTGTGGCCATCTGGGGAGTGAACCAGTGGATAGAAGACCTCCTTCTCTCCATGTCTCTGTAACTCTGCCTCTCAATAAATAAATAAATCTTTAAAAAAAATTGTGTAAAATTACCTTCAGGCTAAGCATATAAAGCGTATCAGAAATGTAAATCAGTTTCATGCTTGGACTTGGGGCTCATCCCCAAAGATGCCTTATTTATATACTTTATATTGTATATATGCAAATATGTATGCAAATATTCAGAAATGATTTTTAAAAACCAAAAAAAAAATCCAAAACACTCTGGATCCAAACATTTCTGATAAATGATACTCAATCTATACTCATAAACTGAAAGATATTTTTGGCTCCTGAGAAGCCCTGATGTCTCAAGACAGGACACAGAAATAACACCGAGGAGACATCCGCTAGCCTTTCACGACCTAGGTACAACAGCAAACACTCGGGAGGTGCGTTACAGCTCCTCGCCACTTCCACCCTCAGAGCTATGGTGATATGGAAGCCCCAGGCTGGTCCCCGCACGTCCTCCACCCAAACTCCCCTCGGCTGATCTCGGCCTGCAGGGCTGACAGACACAGCACTGCGGTCCCATGGCTCTGTGAGAACCACAAGGGTCTCTGTGCAACAAAGCTTCCCCTGCTACTCCAAAGCGGGAGGCATCGTGGGACCCACGACAGGGAACGCCCGCTGGGTGCTTGCTACCTGCCAGGCCCGCCCCCCCCCACCCCCATTCATTCAATCCTCACCACAAACTAGCATTTCTGACACTTCATAGGTGAGATAACTGAGGGGCCTAGAAGTTAAGAGATTTGCCAGAATCCCAGATGCCCGCTCCAAATCACTAAGGTTACACCGTGGGCCTCAGGGGTGGAAACAACCCACCCACCTCCCAGTTTGAGGCCCCTGCCTCGGTGAAATCTTGCCACCCTCAGCAGGGTCAGAGACCAGAGTGAACATACAGCCACTCCTCCCCCACTCCCGGCGGCAATCAGCTGCGAAGACCGTCCCGGTGCCCTGGAGGAGTGGGACCTGTGCTTGGACAAGGCAGGAGGGACAGAGCTTCCTAGAGAAAAGGACAACACCATGGAGGTGACCCTGAGGTGCACGGGCTGCCCCCTCTGGAGAAGCGGGGAGAGCCTGCAGTGCTTAGGTCGCACCCCCAGGCAGCTCAGGGCATGCGCAGATGAACTCGCTTACGACCCCCCCCCCCCCCCCCCCGGGCGGCTCAGGGCATGCGCAGATGAACTCGCTTAGGACACACCCCCCGGGAAGCTCAGGGCATGCGCAGATGAACTCGGAGACTCAGGATGCAGAGCCCAGGGTTGCAGTCACCGTGCCCCGCTGTTTCAACAAACGTGAATTCAGAATGCGACTTGAGGCCGTGGCAGGCTCAGACACTTCTTGAGAAGTTACCACGTTGTCTCAAAAGGCAGTGACGGCACACGAGCCGCCCCCTAAGGATGCAGGTAAGGAGGTGCAAGCGGCAAGCGGCAAGCGGCAAGCGGCAAGGAGGAGCTGAGGCCCCAGCCCCTCCCTGCGGCCCTGCCTGCACCACCCAAACCTCACCCCCGTCTGTGCTGCAGAAAACTGTGGCTTCGACCAGCGCAGACCAAAAGTAACCCACCAGGCTGCCAGCTGCGTCCCCGTGAGGACCTTTAGCCAACTGTAGGGTGATCATAATAAAGTCGCCATGCATGGCTGGCGCTCCGAAAC